GTTCGCATTGGATACATTGGTTTCTTTACACATTGGCTCTGCATAGCACCTTCAGTGTCTGTAGGAAGACTTGTGGCACCTTAGAGACTAACAAATTTATTGGAGCATAAGCTTTCATGGACTACAGCCCACTTCTTCGTGGACTGTAGTCCACGAAAGCTTATGCTCCAATAAATTTGTTAGTCTCTAAGGTGCCACAAGTACTCCTGTTCTTTTTGCGGATACAGACTAACACGGCTGCTACTCTGAAAAGTGTCTGTAGGGTGACCAGACAGCAAGTGTGAAAAATTGGGATGGGGTAGGAGGTAATGGGCATCTATATAAGAAAAAGCCCCAAATATCGGGACTGTCCCTATAAAATCGGGACATCTGGTCACCCTAAGTGTCTGCTGCCTCCTTGGTTCTTCTGGGGAAGTCTGAATAATGTGATTCCTCTTCTTTTACTCAGGGCTCCAAGGAGGAAGCCGATATTGCTTACAGCACATTCCTGCTTCAAGCTAACAAAGTAGCCCAGGGAGAGGCTTAGCAAGTTCCTCGACTGTCCCAGTACAATCGCTTCTGAAGATGGTACAAGGAAAAAGCAATAATGATTGAAAACACTTCTGTGTTCTGAATCAGTGAACAACAGAGCTGCACGTTGCACTATTTCTTACTGTCAAGCAAACATTTTAATGCATCTAGATCTTTCAGTTCCTCAAAGATTTTTAATGAGGTTGTGAGTGGTGATATAATAAGAATCTTCTGGCCAAAAATAAGTTGCCTTGGGGAAGTTGAACCCTCAGAAGTTTGATTTTTTTCTTTTTTTAGGGCAAAGGATCTCGTTTCAAGCAGATTTGAGGTGAAATATCAATAAAGCTCTAATGCCTTTGCTTTCCTGCAGGCTGAGCTCACACCTTTTGGAGTTCACCAAGCCCCAAGGATGGCAATAACCTAAGGATGCATTTCAGATTCACATCTCATTTGATTTTAAAGCACCAGGAGATATTTTAGAACAATGTGAGTCTCTCTTTTGATTCCTGTGAGCTTTTTAATCTATAAGGTAGTAGCTGTAGGGCAGACAAGTAGCCTGAAATTGTTTTTTCTTCACAGCCAATAAAGAATCTGATTGTATTTTAGCAAATCAGTAATTCTGTTCAATTTCTGATACCACATGGAGTGAATGCCATGGGAAGAGGCACATTTTTGCAAGGGGCTGGCCAGGGATAAAAAACACTTGGGATTTGGGATCATCTCCTAGTTTTTGTCACTCAAAACCAGAAACCTCTGGAGATACCAGGTACATTTATGCCATACTGTAATACATCCAGTTAGGGCTAGATTCTCTCCTGTGCTGGGATCTGCTCATTATAATGAAGTAAGAATGCGGGTTGTCTGGGAGCCAGTCAAGATCTCAGGGTAAATTACAGCAGCACACGGGGATTAGAAAAATTGGCATCTAACTCTTATCTCTTGTTGGTCCATCTTCTAGGTGCCAAGATCACTCATAACAAGCCCTCCTATGTTCCTCCCAGGGTCTGCACTAACATAACTGGTCCTCAAGGAACCGTACACTAACTGAGAATTGGTAGAGCACAACTGTGCTCAGCTGCCCATTCTCTCCTGTCCCCAGCACTTCCCCTACACCAGGGATAGGTGATTACTGGCACAGGAAATGGAGGTGCCTGGCTTTTCACCAAGGGGGTTCTCATCTGGCCCGATTCTGGCTTCTTTATGCCCCTTGCGCGGTGCAAAGGAGCGGGTTTGAGGAAGAAAATCTGACCCAGATTAAATCCTTATCTCTTGCCATCCTGACTTCTAGGTGCCAGGATCCCCTCTGGTTGGGCCTTCTCATCTCCCTTCTGAGATCATCAGGGTAACAGGCCACCGGCACTGACTGTCAATTGAACTCCAGTGGCTATCTCAGATATGGAGATGGGCTAAAGCAGAGGGAACAAACAGCTTCACACTCGCTATCAATAGAATCCTTCATCCAGAGAACCAAAAGATCTGGTTAGGATCGTGAGGTAGGGATACTGACCTCCCTCATTCCATAGCGTTTGGTACAGAAAACACACCTGACCAGCCAGCAATCTATTGACATAGGCTCCCGTCTCATCGCAGTGAAGGGCAGCTGGGGCGGCAGCAAGTTTAGGGCAAAAAGACCTTGTGTTTGGGACATTTTGAATTATTTCATGCTCACTGCAGCATCTGGGGCCCTGTGTGCTGGTTTCTGTGCTGCTTCTGAGACTTGGAAAAGCCATGGGAGAAATTAATAAAAAATAGCACAACGTACAAACAAGTCTGAGTCCTTTGGTTGGTGCCAGATCCTTGTACTTCTATAACCAACCTGTTCTCTTGCTGCCTTATTTGTGAACTATTAAAAGTTTTATACATTAACTATTATTTCTATGACAGTACTCCTAGGGACCACAGTCATGGGTCAGGTCCCTCAAAGAGCTTACGATCTGAGTATAAGAGGAGAGACAAGAGGTGGAGACAGACAGGGGAACAAAGTAACAACGAGACAAAACTGGTCAGCATGAAAAGCAGGTGATCTCAGCCAATCAGCTGCCTAAGCACTGTCCTTACCCAGAGCAGTGAATGAACACATTTCACTTTGCTGAAAACATTAGATAGGGCCTTTGCCGTAATGAGGTTCCAACCAAACATAGACAAATACAAAACATGGGACGGTGGTTCACACATGAGCGGGTACAAGGGAAAAGGTTGGAAAGTTTCATGGAGGGTTTTCAGAAGGGGGGTGCTTGACACGTGGAAAGCGGGAGGCTGTTTCAGGGAGAGGAGGCATGAGACAGAGTGGGAGAAAAAGGAGAAGTGAAGAGTTTTAAACCCCACTCAGACATTTAGAACATGGGTCCTGATCCAAAGTCCATTGGAGTCAATGGGAGTCTTTCCAATGACTTTGATGGGCTTTGATTCAGATCTATTGGGTCTGACTCTCCTCTCAGTAACACCAGTATAAACAAGGGGACGTCACTGCCCTGAAGTCAGTGGCATTGCCATGATGTGAAACTGGTGTAAACAGGAAGAAAATCAGGCCCATAGTCTTCATGTTAAAGAAAATGTTCTGACAAGTTCTCGGTTCCACAGGGTTCCATGACGACACCCGCAGTGCAGGCAGTGTTATTTCCTGACCTCGCCACCCGCCTACTTCAGAGAAAGCCATTGTGGTTTGTCAGAGCTGGGAGGAAGCATGAGAGCTTTGCTAGGAGGGGACGATGCTAGCGATAACACTGAAACTAGCAAAAGGGGCAGACCCTGCCTCACACCACCTGCTCGGAGATGCATGAACGCTTCCTCTATTACTGTACCACACACTATAAGCAAAAATAGGCTGGTTTTTTTTAGAGTAACACTGACTGGGTTCTCACAACCTATAAAAGGGATATAAATACATATTGGCCAAAGGAAGGGTTTGCCTGCTATGGGCCACTCATGTATCACCCTATTACAGGGTGACCAGATAGCAAGGGTGAAAAATTGGGACGGGGTTGGGGGGGTAATAGGCACCTATATAAGACAAAGCCCCAAATATCAGGACTGTCCCTATAAAATCGGGACATCTGGTCACCCTACCCTATTAATTCCTTCAGTGAAAGCACTGATTGGAGGTCAGTGATGCTACATGTCTTTATTTTAATAATGTGCGGCTGAAAGGTACCAGGCGGACAGCCCTGGAGACCGGGAACCATGGAAGAGTTCCAAGAAGGACAGCAGGAAAGTCAGGCTGCCTCTCTCCACAAGCCCTATGCACCTCAGCTCGAAGGACCAGGGGGAGAGAGAGAGAGAGAGTTTGCTCTCTGTATCTAGGCTCCTTCCCTTTGTTTTTTCACCCTCCCTCACTGTCTTCCCCAGCTTTACTCATTGTTTTTTCCCACCGGATTGTCTCTTCACTTCCCCTTGGTGCTCCCTTTCCCACACTCTTGCTCAAGCAGAACATGAAAGCAGGAACATCCAAGATCAGCCTGAACTCTGGGACTCCGGTAGTTCAAATAGGGTTGAAATAACCTCATGCCATATTGGTTATGCTAAGCATAATAGGCCTGACTCTACAGGCATGTCTACACTGCAGAGGTGTCACTGCAGCATGTGTAGACATACCCCAAATAGATATCTAGCTAGCGCCAAAAATGATAGCAGTGAAGCCATGGCAGAACAGGGTGCAGCGTGGGCTAGTCACTCGAATACATGAAGGATTCTATTGATAGCGAGTGTGAAGCTGTTTGTTCCCTCTGCTTTAGCCCATCTCCATATCTGAGATAGCCACTGGAGTTCAATTGACAGTCAGTGCCGGTGGCCTGTTACCCTGATGATCTCAGAAGGGAGACGAGAAGGCCCAACCAGAGGGGATCCTGGCACCTAGAAGTCAGGATGGCAAGAGATAAGGGTTTAATACATATCCAGAGTCCTGGATGGGCTTTCGCAGCCCATGCTGCCACCCGTGCTTTTGTGGGTGTTTCTGGAGCAAGCTAGATCAAAGCTAGCTCAGGTATGTCTACACATGCTGCAGCTTCCTTTGACTCAGAGTGCCTTTGTGTGCATTAGCTTAACTTTGGGTGTGCTGAGGGCACTGTTTGTTTTGTGGGTTTTTTGTGAAAAACTGATCTTTATTTTCCAGAAATATACAAGCTTATTCTCTCACTTCTCCATCTTCTTCTTCTACTCCTCTGATGCACAGGACGTTGTTACAGCTTATCAAAACTTCACCAAGGTGTCCTGACAATGCACCACCTATGTATTCTTCTGTGTTTGCAAGCTGCATGTTCATGTAGCCATCGACAGACACCCGGTAGCCCTTGTACTCCATCCCCCACTTCAGCTTCACCATCACCAGCTTCCCCTGCAGCCCATTCAGGAAGGGCTTGCGGTTCAGGGGCAAGCTCATGGTAACGAGGCCTGGCACAAGGCAGCGGTAAAAACAAAAATTACTCGCAGCACTGTTAGCAGGCAGGCAGAGCATCCACACAGAGTAGCTAGTGAACACTAGCTAGTGCACAGCAGCTACTCTGGGCTTTTCCCCCGTGTAGACAAGCCCAGGGTGTAAAGGAAGGTTTACGCTGCATTGATCACAGGACTGATGATCAGATGACATACGTTAAGAGGAACAAGTGCTGCTGCTTTGGGTTGGTTTTTACTTTGCATCTCCTGTGTTTTTAACTGTACGTCTAAAGCACCCAGAGCTTTGGATGGTGGGGGCGGAGTGCCCTTTGATGTGGGGCTCAGATCAGACAGAAATCTAAATAAAGAAAGAAAATCATTCAGTCCAGGTGCAACCTCACAACAGGGTTACAGCTGGGATGAATTTGGTCCAATATGTTTTGAAGCCTCCTATAAAACTTCCTTTATGGTTTGCATACCATTTGTATTTGTAGCGCGAGAAAGGATCTGATACAGGACCTCAAGCATAGCGAGTTCTTTTTGTTGCTTTCCTCCTTTCTGTTATTGGAAATACGTGCCACAGGAAGCAAGCAGCCATCACTGAATGTGCTCTAACTCCTGTTTTACAAAGGGAGAAGATGGAGTTCATCAGTATGTTACTTTTCTTGCTACAAGGTAAGAGTTGTATAGATTAAAAAAGCGCGTCACGGAGTCCAAATGGAGATAGCAGGTAAGAACAAAGAAGATGTTTGAGCTTTGTTTTTAGACTTGGGGCATCTACAGTTAAACAGTTTACTGGGCCTGTTTGCTTTTATCATAAATTGTAGAGGGTTTTTACCCTCCAAGAACGTCCAATGTGATTTGTAAAACTGGGGGGGGAGGGTGAAGGGTCTGGCAGGTGGGTAAACCTGAAATGTCAGGAATTGTTCGACGCTGGACCATGAAATATTTCTGTGACTTTCCAAGAACATTGAATAGCTGGAGATGCTTTAATTCTGCAGAACAAAAGAACATTTTCATTTTAGAGATGTTTATCATGTGAGCCTTGTTTCTAATCCAGAGTGATTTACAAACCTAAGTTAGTTAATTGGGCACACAACGTTAACTTAATGTTAGCTAAGTTGGGATACTGGGCACCTAAAAGCTTTCAAGTGAACTCATGTTTGTAAATTGGATCCAGTATGTTAAAGATATAGGGGTGAAATCCTGAATCATTGAAGTCAATGAGAGTTTTGGTATTGACTTCAAAGGAGCCAGGATTTTACCCAGAGGGTCAAGTCCAGCCAGCCATCCTTACTCAAGCAAAACTCATATTGCAATCAAGTTTTCCATCTGGAAGCAACTCCTTCCCATACTGCATCAGAGACTGCTGGATTTTGTGCATAATTATAAGCACTCCTACAGCATGTTGTTTTGTGGTTAGCAAGCCATTAGCTTCCTCACTGTAGTAATGTCTGCTATTTTTACCAAGCTAGGCCCAGGAAAATAGATCACAGCAAGGGATTACTGCACAGATAGATGGATGGATGGAGAACCCTGCCCATACCCAGATGTTTTACTTTATTGAATTATTCATTGATTTATAAACTGTGCCCTCCCTTCCTTAGCTCAGGACACATGAATAACATGCAATAAAAACACGGAGCCTGATCTTACATGAAGCCTGTTGGGTCTTTGTGCTCCAGAAAATCAGTCTTCACTCCCAAAAAGCCAACAGAAAAGGGCATTACCCAACCAGAAAACAATTCCCGCCCATTCAGATCAACCCTCCCTCAGGCAAACATTGAACAGAAGGTCACTGCTGTATATGCTGAAGGACGACAGACCTGGGCACTGTTACACTAGAGGGGGACTGAATTCCAGAGCTGGGAACCTTCATGTTTAAATACAAGGAGAATTCAAACAGGTGCCCTAGCGGAACTCAGACGTTGCAGTGACAAACAGGATAGAAGGATCAGGACCCTAGCCATTCAGAGACATATAATGTTGATCAAGTGAATGCTGTGAACCGCAGCCACTCGGAGCTGTGGGCGACCATGCCTGCGGATGGTCAATGTAAATAAACTGTCTCACAACCCACCAGCGGATTACCCTGACGGGCCGCAGGTTGCCCACCACGACTGTAGAGTCTCTGTCATTGGAGGTTTTTAAGAACAGCCGTTAGACAAACACCTGTCAGGAATGGTCTGGTTATTTTGTAGTCCTGCCTTGAGCACAGGGGACTGGACTAGCTGACCTACTGAGGTCCCTTCCAGTCCTACACGTCTATGATTCTATAAAGGGGCCTAAGACCTTGTCTTCACTCATATTTTACCTTGTGTGAGTTATTACATGGTCAGGACCCACCTTTTTGCCTAGTGAAGACAGTGCCTTTGTGTGACGCCCCTTTAGCATAAATGTGACTCAGGCCCTGTGACTTCTTTCTCTGTGTCATCAGTTTCAGGTGCAGCAAGACGACGCATTCAAGTGACTGGTGAGGTTGGAAGATCCATCACCATAAAGTGTCCTGTGAAGGACATTTCCAGTCGAAAATTCTGGTGCAGGGAGCTCGAGACAGGGGCCTGTGGCACCATCATCTCCACCACTCCATACATCAGTGAGAATTACAGGAATAGAATATCCATCACCGAGGCGCCTCAGGAAGAAATATTTCAAATTACAATCACAAGGCTGGAAGAGGAGGACACGGGGCTGTACATGTGTGGGACAGGATTTGTAAATGACAAAGGCAGTGGAAGGTCCCTCCAAGTGGAGCTGAAGGTTTCTAATGGTACGGGATCACTCCATAGTTACTCTGTACAGTATCTCTCTCTTTCTCTCTCTCTACAGTGCAGTATCATGCAGGGGTACCATGTCACTGATGACACCATTCCGTCAGAGTGATACTGTAGCACTGCTAATCCAATATCACTCTGTACAGTATCACTGCAGACACAGTGCCACTGAGGCTATGTGATCACTCTGTACAGGATCATTCCGGTTGTACAATGTCACTGGTGATGCATGATCACTCTGTGCAGTACCTCTTACAGTCTAGCTTTAGTAATGAACATTGGATCGTGACTTTTTAGCATGTGCTCTAGGAACACATCTGGTTCTGTTCCATGCAGGGAATGCTCCCCCCAGAATGGGCCTGTTGTCTGCTGAACCCCTGAGACGTGACAGACCTATTGTGGTACCAACAGAGTCTGGCAACAAAGGTGCTGACACTCAAGGTGAGGTTTGCTGCATCCCTCTCTATAGCCTCACGGGAGGAGAGGGAAGGGAATTGGCACTGACTCGTCCCCATCTCTCCCTCAGAGTGGGGGAGATCTCTCAAGTTCACACTAATGAGGTGATGCACATATGCCACAGCTGCCTGGACTGTGCCTGTTTGATAGCTTTCAGGGCACCTTTCACCAGCACTGGATTCACAAATGTATAATTGTCTATCTAATCTAGGAATTTATCTGCTTCCCCCTCATCACTGTGGTATCAGAGCGCCTCACAATTGTTAATGGGTTTTATCCTCACAGCCTCCCTGTGAGGTGGAAGTATCCTCCCTACTTGACAGATGGGGATCTGAGCCCCAAGGAAGTCTACGTGACTTGCCCACGCTCACACAGGAAGGCTGTGGCAGACTCAAATCTCCTGAGCCCCAGTCTGCTGATTTCCCTGTGAGATTTTCTTTCCTCTCTAAAAGAAAATCATCAACCAATCCTAAATACTGAGGCATTTATTTTTGAATGTTCCCATCAAGATTAAGCCTCTTAGGACTCAACAAGTTGTTGTAGTTTTTTGTTACCCTCTCTGACTAAATTTATAAACACGTGGCAGTTGTCGCTGCTAATATATTCAGAATACCAGGCTCCTGGATCTTAGTTAATAGGGCTTTAGATCTTCCCTTGTATGAGTGCACAGGCACGAAGGCCAGACCATGCTGTGTACCACACATCCCTTCTTCTCGTTCTTTTAGGACTGGGGCTTGTTTCCTCCATTCCTTTCCCTGGGGTTGTTGGCTTGTATTGCCAGAACTAGGACAATATGGACCTGGCTGTGCTGTAATGGTTATATTCAGTGTGAGTCTTGATTTGGCTCTCAGTTAGACTGGAGTGTGGAGTGACTGCATTAAAATCAATGAAGTCATATTTGTGGACAATGGGTGTAAGGGAGAGGCAGTGCGGCCTAATGAATAGGGCATTGGATTGGGGCTCTGGAAACTTGAGGCAGGTCTTCAGCTGGTGCATAATAATTTATGCCAGCTGTAGATCTGCCGCTCTGGTTCTCTTCCCAGCTCCACCACAGGTTTGCTGGGTGACTTTGGACAAGTCACTTCATCTGTGCCTCAACTTCCCCAGCTGTAAAATGGGGATAATAATACTGACTTCTTTTCTAACATGTTCTCAGCTCTAAAGAATGTACATTTTTAATGAGGTAGGTATGTTAATTATTATTATTAATTATCCCTCCGTATTAACAATGGGGATGGTTGTTTTTTAAACAAACAGCTTTCAAAACATAAAAGATCTTTAAGCTTAAAAGGGGAAAGCTGCTGTCTAAAATTTATCCCCAGGAGTCATAATAAATCCTGACCACAAACTGACTCTGTTGGCTTGAGTAGTCAGGAGTTTTGTTAAACTTTCTGCAGAATTCCTGCATTTTAGGTGCTCAGATGCACTGGTTCTCCTATGACTTGCCTTAAAATTCTCAAAAAGAACAGGAGTACTTGTGGCACCTTAGAGACTAACAAATTTATAGAGCATAAACTTTCGTGGACTACAGCCCACAGTGAAGTGGGCTGTAATCCACGAAAGCTTATGCTCTAATAAATTTGTTAGTCTCTAAGGTGCCACAAGTACTCCTGTTCTTTTTGCGGATACAGACTAACACGGCTGCTACTCTGAAACTTAAAATTCTCACAGTGCCTAAGAGCGCTGACTTCTGGAGGTCACCGATCGGGATGTATTGCATTCCTAATGTATTCCTGAGCTGCTCATTCATACCCTGAGGAATTGCTCCAATAATCCCTGGGATTGTCTTTGTTCTAGTTTTCCATAATCATTCCACTTCATGGGAAAGTTCTTCAAACCTCGCTATCTTCTCTTCTTGTTTCTTTTTTTATGTTTTTTTGCTGGTATGACCATATCAATTATCATCGCCTTATTTGTCTTCTTTTCTACAACACCTGTGTTCAGCCCGTTTGCCTGCTCTATTCTGTCTGTGCCAATGGCCCGAGTCCATAAAATCTTAGCCTCTTCATTCTCTAGAGGGTTTTCAATTTGGTAGTCATAATACTACATGGGGTGTTTAAATCTGTACTTGCCACAGAGGCTCCAATGCAGACACTTGGCAAGGTCATTGTGTCTGTCCATATATTCTCTCCCAGCCAGACTCCAGCCTATTATATTATTAATTAATGATGAATGATTAATTACTCTTATACGAGAGCAGAACCATGTCCGCTGTGTTCAAGAATCTAGATTTTTTGCAGTAAATGTCTATTTATCATGGATCATCAGTAATATCCTTCAAAGATAGTGACCGGCTCCAGTCCTACAATTAGCATCTTTGATCCTCAAGGGCAAACAAAGACTAAATCCTAACCTCAGCTATGCCCACCTACTGAATACAGTATGAGGAAATGAGAGCACAATATTGCTCAAAGCTTTACAGTTTAAAAAAACAAAAAGCCCGCGCCAAATTTGGGTCTCACTCGTACTGGTGTAAATCAATGATTCTCAAACTTTTGTACTGGTGACCCCTTTCACCCAGCAAGTCTCTGAGTGTGACCCCCCCTTTATGAATTAAAAACACTTTTAAATATATTTAACACCATTATCAATGCTGGAGGCAAAGCGGGATTTGGGGTGGAAGCTGCCAGCTCATGACCCCCCCCACATAACCACCTCTTGACCCCCTGAGGGGTCCCGACCCCCAGTTTGAGAACCCCTGGTGTAAATCAATGGAGTGTCTCCAGATCGATATAGGTGTGAGATCAGCATTTGCCCCTCGCACTCATCCCTAGTTTTGACTTTGAAACTTGCTTTATTGGAAAACATACACGTGTTCAAGAATGGGAAATGTAGCAACAGTTCATTTCAATATGCTTTCCCCCAGGAGTCACACAACCACAGATGACTAATGGAGCACGGGCAAAATATACCTCCTTTGCTGCACCTGGCATCAAATTCCCTGAAAATACAATAATTACGCCTGCAGACGTCATTGGCACCACTGTTACCAATGCAGAGTCTGAAAGTATAACAAAGGGGATTCCAAAGACTTCCAGGACAATCGGCTATGCACATCCCAGGCATACAAAGCGGTGAGTTCCACAAACTTTCCCCCATCTGTGATTTTCCAGCATGAACTCTCCCCTAGCTTATTTCATTTCCTCTCAAGCTTACAAATATTACCGGGTCAACCACGCTGTTCGTGTGAGGAGTGGATCTGCATGTCAGAACTGGCAGTAAAACCACTTCCCCCTTTGACTCAATATTTTCCAGCCTCTTGAGAAGCAATTATGGGAATGATGTCTTTCAAATCCTGATACCAATTCTCCTGATAATGCTGCTGCTTGTGGCTTCTGTGATAATTGTTAGAAAACAGCTACGAGGGAAGAAAGGTAAGAGAAAGGTCACCTACTTCTTATACCAGTCGGTGGTACCTGCCACTCTGTGGTAAAAAGAAAGGACAAGACAGTTTCCACAGTCGGAGAACTATAAGTTCTCTTTGAAAAGGATTGATTTCTGCTTTGGATAAATTCACATAATTCCTTGCCTCTTGCAGAAAATAATGTTTTTATTTTTCACTATGAAACCTGCAGGTAGCTGCAAAAGCAAAACGGTAAAGTGGATCAAATTCACGAATACGCGTGAAAATAGCTGATGTTTGCACAGATAGTTTATTCTATTCTATTTTGGTTCTTGTGCCATACCCACCACACTTGCACCTATCACATCAAGGGAAAAATTACCAGTCAGCTGGCTTCATTTCTAGGGAAAAAACCAAACAAACCAAACAGCTAGATAGGCAATAAAACAATTTCAGCTGAAACATAAAACCTACGTTGTGAACATCCATATCTAACGACTGAGTGTTAGCTGCCATGTCCCGGCCAAATTCTAATTGGACTAATTACATTCTGCCTGCATAAAATTGCCCTATAGTTTCAATTCGCGCTTTTTCCTTTACTTAACCTGTTTCATTTGCTCACCTGAATTGTTGTGTTATGTGGCTATACGCCTGCCTTCCATCCCAGAGGAGGCTGCATTTCAGTGAAGACAGTGTAAGCAACTTGTCATCCATTTTGTAAAGTCTGGTGAGCAGAATCTTTGGCTGTAAGTTGCTATAGAAGCACCATTATTATAACTGCTTTAGAGTCTGATTGACAGAGGTGCTAACAAGGCACATTTCCACTGGTGGGAGGTGCATACACTCAGCACTCTCAAAATCCAGCCATTAGTTTATTTCAGGGCGACTATAACAAATCACGCATGTTAAATGTATTGAGCCTGTAGACCTGCTGACTGCCGTTGGTTTATAGGCATTACAATCTACATGTTTGGCTGTTTTGGAGAAGCAGCTTCCAGTGAAACCTATGGAATAAATCAGAGGTTGAGTGCGCTCGAACATGGCCAAGGGCACATTCCAATGGAAAATATCTACAGCGTGTTACCCCGCAGGCTCGAGGGAGCTGACAGGAACAGTAAGTTCACCCACAACTATTCAATCCCTAATTCTCCACCTATGGTCTTTCCAATCTACAGCAGATGCTCACTAATGTCGGAGGTCAAGATTCTACTCTCATTTACAACAGTCTAATGTTAGCGTAAACCCACTGAAATCCCTTGACTTACTTTGGATTTTTACTTTGCACTATTCTATTCTATGCAGATTCTCATACTGGGCTAATCTGGGTGCCTCCCAGTAGTGCATTAAACCTCATGACCAACATCTGTCACCTGTTGTTTGTTCTGTCATCCTCTCCCCAGCGGGAGAAGCATATGCAGCGCAGTGTCTTGTTTTGGTAGGGTTTTAAGTTTGTTTGTTGTTTGTTTTTAAACATACACGTTGCTGTGAATTTATGTTAGAGAAAGCGAGGTCAAAGAAACACACTTTGCACTTGGAGTGAAAAGTGATGAGGTTTGTGAAGGCCCTTAGTTCCCGGAGGAGTTTATTCCACAGTATTGGACCAGTCCCCAAGAAAGTTCCGTCTCCCACACGGCCCAGCTTTACCCTTATCGTGCTAAAAGCAGAATTGGCCTCATTGTCTAATGTTACTCATGTTACATGCACCACTGACTGAGGACAGTTCCGTAATCATATCCTGAAAGCTCTCAGCCCACACGCCCATCAGACACCCCTGACAATCCCATTCCCTTTGGCTTATGTAACACACACCTCCATTGTGCTAGTAACGCACTTGGCTGCAGTGCAAGATGCTCCCAGGTTCAGCATTAGCCTTGTGAATCCTGTCTTGCTCCTTCCCTTCCCTGCTTTTTGTTTGCCGGGGCGGGGGATGGATTTGCAAAAATTACTGGAGTAAAGTTGCGCAGCTGGACAAACAAGCATCAGTGCAGTGCTAAGGAAATGAAAGTGGCAAGTCTAGTGATACCAATGTGTTTCTACAGACTGCAGGAACATCTCAAATGGTGGGTTGGGACCCCAAAGTGGGTCATGACCCTGGTTTAATGGGGTCGCCAGGGCAGAAGTTAGATTTCCTGGGACCCGGGGATGAAGCCAAAGCCAAAGCCTGAGCTTCACCATCCCTAGCCAAAGCCCAAGCGCTTCAGCACTGGGTGGCGGGGCTCAGGTTACAGGCTCCCCACCTCCTTGCTGATGCTTTTGGGTTTTGGCCCCCCACCCCTGCCCTGGATGGTGGAGCTCAGGTGTTGCCCCCTCCCATTTGGAGCAGTGGGGTTTGGGATTTGGCTTTGTCCCCCCGCCCCCAGGTGACGGGGCTCAGTCAGGCTCAGGCTTCGGTCCCCTCTCCTGGGGTCATGTAGTAATTTTTGTTGTCAGCTTACCCAGGCAGTGTAACCGTGCAGAGCACAAACAATTCGGATACAGGATCAGCCTCTGCAACAGACGCAAATCCAAAGGGCCTCTGTGGGGTAATCCTGGGAAATGAAGCCTGGTCTCCTGCATGTTAGGGCAGAGCATTAACCAATAGGCGACTGCAGCCCAGGATGTTGAACTTAAATTAATTTAGGGGGCACATGTATACAGTGTTCACTAGCAATACACAGGCTAACAAACACAGACCCAGACTGACTTCTGCTCCTTCTTACATTATCTAATCACTTCCTTAGGCAAAGCCCTATGCAAACAGACAAACCTTGCATCAGGCTCTGAAGGGCAGCAAACTCAGGCTCTGTTTGATCAACAGAGGGAATAAATTCCAGGACTCACCACTGAGAATTTCAGAATTTCTGGGGGCTGACAGTAAAAGCATCCCAGCTAATGTTTCCTGTCTGGATGACGCACAGGGAGGCAGGCTGTTAGCCAGGTAGGCAAACCATCTTCATAGCTCAGTTACAACAGTTGGAAACACACAGGAAGCCAGTGAAGTCTTGGTAGAGCTGGGCTAATGTGTTCCAAATGGCACACTACTATGGAACTGGGCAGACTTGGTCTGCACCAGCTATGGCTTGTGTGCATAGGCTAGACATGGGTGAGCAAGAGACCATCCAGGGCTGGCCCTAGGGAAAATGGCACCCTGGTCAAACTTGTATTTTGGTGCCCCTGACTCCCTACCCATTGCTCCCAGGCCCAACTGTCTCCTCTCACACATTGCTCCAAGCTCCCATCTGCAGCTTTGCATCCCAGGCCTGCCTCACTCCTTGCTTCTTGACCATGGCATTTCCCTGACCGCAGCGTTCACCCGTAAGGCCAGCCCTGAGACCATCAAACATTCCTGATGGGACCCTATTGCGGCAGCAATCTGGATGAGACAACCTTGTGGTGATGGCCCAAACTGAAAACCTTGGGTGATCATATTGACTTAAAGAGCTGTTGATGGGGGTGAAAAGGGAAACAGAGTGAAATGTGTTAGCAGTCAGGTTGGACTCTCAACTCTGAGTCATTATAGCAAGTTGCTGCTTACTACATGGTTGCTTTGTTCAGCAGGACTTCAGTACTGAGCCTCATACTTGAGTTGAGAACTATCATGAAAGGACTATGAGCATGGGGTGCTAGGAAATCCAGTTATTAGATAGCTGAACTTAGATCACCAAGCCATTTCCCTTGACCGACCCACCCACCCCAAGAAAGAAATAATATGGACACTGCAGTAGGTGTATAAATAGGTGAGCTGTCTATTTTAAGACCTTTCTCTCTCTACCACTCCTTCTCCTCTCAGTAGGAATTTCTCTCTGATATATAATTAGGCTGATAAAATCATCCACAATTACCTGAGCTGTCAGTTCAAGCTGCCTGATGATATCCAGATGTTTTGGCCTTTCATCAAAGCCGTTCCCATGTCTGAAGCTTTTCCAACAAGGCATGCCGCAGTTTCTGCATTGCCTCACCCACACTGTTCCTTCAGATGAGAATGACATTTCATCGCGAAGCTCGGAAGCTACAGAGATGTCAGCAACCTGGCAATCCTCTCCACGCATAAAAGAGGTTGGAATGAAGGACACTGCAGTCTGCTATTCCATTCCATCCAGGGAGATGGAGATTAGAGCTACAGAAGTTGCCATGCATTATGGGACTTTGCATGGTGAATCAGACAGCAAATTCACAGAGAACAGAGTCCTGGCTTAATCAAGTGAAACTCCATTGATTTCAGTGAAGTTATAGCCACTTATACTGGCTCTGGATTTGGCCCCAGATAGCCAATTAACTGGGAGTCAACTTAACAAACCATTCACTGGGCTAAAAATACAGCTCATCCGATTGACCATGTCCAGCCTCTTGTTAGCCAAAGTGTATATTACATTTTTCATACTTTGGGCCCAATCCATCCCTGATGTAACTCCACTCAAGTTACACTAGAGGTGAATTTGATCCAACAATGCTAAATTAACAATACGTTGAAAAAGTTAGGTTAATTTTATTCCCCCACACCTCTCCCTTTAATTTTCATGTCTTCTCCTGCCTCTGCACTGATTCCAACTGGAAGCAGCAATGGAAGAGCTGAAATACAGCGTGAGATTCTTGTGAGATTTCTAGCCCTGATTTCCAGACCCAAAAGGTTTGGCCACTTATCCAAATGGAATCTGCAAACATTTTGGGGTTCACCCAACGGTACATGCAACTTAAATCCACACCTATTAACCCCACCTTTTAATACAGCTGTCAAGAGTACGTCCACCTGCAGACAATGATTAACTCCTGAGGATGCCTTCTGAGGACATGTCTGCTTAATAAAGGGGATAAACAAGAACACTTTGCATTCATATATCCAGGACCCAGTGATATAAAAGCCAGTTACATAAGACTCCCCTCTCGGTGCTTGTTATTAGCCCCTTTTTGCAGCTGGAGAACCCGGAGCACAGGGAGGTGGAATGATTTGCCCAAGAACACACAGAGCTCAATGGCAGCGTTCAGAATAGAATCTAGGGGTGAGATTCGGTGCTGTGCCGCTAAGAAGCACAGCACAGAACTCCCAGGCCAGAGGGAAGTGGGGCTAAGGACGCTTTTGGCAGCTTTAGTACCTTGCCAGGCTGCTCTGAGGGCTGGAGAGGCCTGTCTAGGTTACAGCAACCTCTCCAGGCTGCCCTATGAGCTGCAGCGCTGCCCCAAATCTCCCACTGCAACATACCCTTCCGGCCCTCTGCATGTCCCCTACAATAGGGCTTATGATGGGGTCCTCAGAAGGCAGGCTTATGGCTGTGTTCTGCAGTGCTGCCTGTCCTGGAGCAAGCATATGTCTATGGGTATCAAGGCTTTTAGAACTGCTTTCCATTATACCTAGCATGAAGGGGCTGGAGAGACCGTTAGGCTCTAATTCCAGGTCCTTTTTTCCAGGCGCTAACCACCACATACGTTCCCTCTTGTTGAGGTGCTAGGGTTAATGTGTATTTCAGGCCCATGGAGAGGGTGCAAGAGAGGGAGAAACAAAGAGACAAAAAACACTCAAAGAGCACTTTCTTTCCTTTACTACTGCAAACGACCCATTAGTAATTCCAACTGCGCCTTCCTCTCACCAGCCATCTCAGTGCAACCAGCCCCACATATCTAAGACCTAACAAATCTCATCTCTCGGCAGTAACAGAAGGGAAGCCAGGTTCATGCTTATACCTCCTTCCTCGCTAGGGGATGACTAGTTCCATTATCCTCTTCTAGAGAAAAGTTCACCAGTCATCAACAACAACAACAAAAGAGAGATAATTTTGGCATGATATATGGCTTCCCAGTGGTGAGTTCAGCTTACGTAATAAACAGCAACACTAGGAAGTAACTTGCAAGACGTGACTTAACTAACTGTTTATTTTTGTCTGACAGGTTTAACCTTTATAATGCTGCCATTTTTCAGGCTGCTAGTCAGAGCAATGTCTCAGTGGGTATAATACCTAGCCCTTACATAGGGCTTTTCATCTGTAGATCTCAATGCACTTTACAAAGGAACTCAGTGGGGAAACTGAGGCACGGATCTGTATCATGGAAATTAGGGATAGCTTGGTTACCTACTTCTGGCACAGGATACTTATTGGCTAGCACAGGGTACATTTTTAAAGAATTTTTCTAGTCTTGTTTAAATATCCCCAATGACAAGAATGTTATCTTTTCTTAAGCTATTCCACTGCCTAATAGATCTCCCAGTGAGGCCATTTTTCCAATACTCAGACTCAGTTTCTCTTTTTAAATGTCATCCTCTTCATATAGCCCCTTGGAATGCCCAAAGTAGGCGTCCATGTGTGGAAAACTATTAAATAGCAAACCTAGAAAATTGTAATAAAATAATGACCTCAATTAATATAACTGACCCATAAATATAGGAGTGCTACATTAGCGCTGAAAGACATAGTGGCATGGATAGATGATGATCACCATAAAGATTGTGACCATGGATATTTTCAATGTTAGTTTACAGGCAGGGGTATTTTCAATGTTAGTTTACAGGCAGGGATATAATAGTCCGTACTTAACAGGGCAGGCTCAACAGGGCAAACACACCCTATTCCTTTATTCTTTTGTCCCAGTCAAGCTGGATACATGTTCAGGTAGTGATGCTATGAGCAGACACAGCAGGAAATGCTTTCATTTGGGAAATGCACATCACTTGCATAATGTACAAGACTCAGCATTTTTTGCTGGCAATAATTGAAAGAAGGTGCCAGATAACTGGATGTTCAACGAGGCTTTTTAGGCATTGATGAAACAGGTGAGAGACCTGCCTTTTCAGAAAATTGTGAGGCAAGCTGGAAAAATGCAGTTAAATTTGCTTGGGGAGTTGTAATTTGTGTCGTCATTTTTTTTCTTTGCAGGCTTGGCTATTCAGACATTCAGTGGATATTTCCAAATTTGCAAAACCCTGTAATAGTTACATCATCTTGGCAGGGAGGCAATGTGCCTATGGGTTAGAGCACTGGACTGGGATACAGGAGACTTCTGTTCTATTCCCAGCTCTGTCACTGGTCTACTGGGTGACCTTGGGCAAGTCGCTTCTTCTCTCTGTGCCTCAGTTGCCCCAGCTGTAAACAGGGAGAATGAGTAACCTCGTTTGTAAAGTGCTTTGAGCTCTACTGTTGAAAAATGCTGTATAAACGTTATGATGCTCCGGCTGCTGAATTACGTCTTTCCAACCGCCAAGGCACACTAGTGCCAGGAATCTTTACTGAGAGCCAAGAGTTGCTTCAGATTAACTCATTAGACTGTGTTCCCACTACAATAGACAGTTATCCTGGCTCTCTCAGACCACTTTAAAAAACAACAACTAGGGAATAAGCTCAGGCTCCATCAACCCTAAAGGCAGGATTTTCAGAAGCACCTAGGTCACTTGGGCACACTGGTTCCGCTGGATGTCAGTGGGATTTTGTGAGGAAGAGTTTCAAAGTCACACATGGCAGTAAGATGAGCTCCCTCGTAATGCCTTTTAAAATAGTCAGTGGCCATCTCTGCCTGTGGTCCTAAGTCACTAAGGCCTGTGCTACACTTACACGTTTTATGACATAACTACATTGACGAGAGATGTGATTTTTTTTTTTTGGCCAAAATAGTTTTACCTCTATAACCCCTCTCAGGGGCAGTGGAAACTGGCAGGGATCCATTCCTGCATAAACTCACCCCCAGAGAGGGGCACAGAGATCAGAGCAGGACCCAGAGGGACTGGTGCATCTGCCTTGGGGCCTGGGATTGGGCTGGGAAGAAGGGCGTGGGATCCAAAGGAGCTGGAGCAGTACCTTGGCACCGGGGATCAGTCCAGGGAGGAACCCCAGGATTCTCCTGCCCATCCTGGAGCACCCTGTCCCGCTGAATCTCAGTACTTTACCTCACCCCCCCTTCTGTCCATGCAACCCCTTTTGTGGTGACTTTACCAGTATAACCCTGCCCTGCTTACAGGAGTCTGCAGTGCAAAAGGCTGAGAATCTATTCCACTACCTCTAGTCATAACGGAGCTGAGTAGGTAGTCACAGTATTCCTCCCTGCCTCCTACCACTGCATTACCCTAGACCCGTTGCTAGATGTAATATTTTATAAAAAAAAAGACACTTGTCTCATTACCACCTACTGTCTATGGTTTTTTCCTAGGTTCTCATGTACCTCATGACTCATATCACTGCAGAGTTGACTTATAAGAGCTGCTGTGACAGCACATCGGTCACCAGGCACAGCTGAGGAAGGACTTGAGGCACACACAAAGCCGCCTCCAATCAGCACCTGAACCCTACATGTCAAAGCATTCCTTTGATGCTGTGACCACGCTGCTCTGCAGAAGCTGGTCTACATGCTTTCTCCACACAAAGTGCTAATGCTAAGTTTACAAAGGTACAATGGATTTGCTGTGATTGTTTAAATGTGATTTTTCTAGTTTGCTCTGCAGATCTTGGTCTTGCTTTGCAGAGCTTGGTCTGTACAGATGGTTGCCAAAACACGCAGGTTCAGGTAAACATTAAAAGCAGAGGTAAACTTTTCCCCTCAATATTTATTGACTGTGGATGAAGATTTCTCCTATGCAGAGGGCCCGTGCAGGACCGAAGCACCACTTAAATCCTCAAATTAGGTTAATAGACTGAAGTGTTGTCTCGGTTTTGTGCTCTTTGCACAAGAAAGGATTTCACCCTATAAGCTCATTGGCATTTTGATATAGCATTAAAGTTCATCTTCATTGTCAGCTTGAACTAGGTGAATATAGTTGGTAATCCAGTGCCCAGAAAAAGAAGAAGGAGAATTGTTTTGCAACAATTTCTCGTGTTTCATCAAGTGTATTTTTGGTGCTAAATTTCTGATCAGCTATGAAACTGGATGGAAAACAGAGTTTGTTTTTTTTCCTTTCCAAATACTTTATACACGTTTTTCATTCAAATAAATAAAAATGTTTTGGAGAAATGTTTAGGGAGTGCTTATTGTTATTGAGACTCCGGGCCTGATCCCAATTTAACACTGATGTGAATCCACTGACATTAGTGAAGTTATGTTTAATTCCAACGCGTTACCCTTTCTGCTTAACAATCTGTCCCAATTTATATTCAGTTCCAACACTCCGCTTCCTTCCCCAGGTCTAAAGAAGAACTCTGTGTAGCTTGTACCTTCTACCAGCAGAAATTGGTCCAATAGAAGATATTACCTCACTCAGGGGAGTGTCATTTTTAATTTATAGCAGTATAAGTGAAATCAGATTCAGACCCTAAACTAACATCACAGGCCTAGAGAGGTCCCTCCGTGTATACCCCTACTAGTGTGGTGGGGTGTGGGAGCTTATACTGCTACGGTCCAGGCAGAAGGTATCATCCCAGACTACTTCACAGTGACCTTCACAGTGATACTGGATCCTGTTCTCTAGTCACCATTCCCTTCCATGACTTCGGACTCCTGGCCAGGACTAAGTATGACCCCCACGTGGGTACACTGGACAGAATGGGCTGTGTTAGTCTGGGAGCGAAAGACAACCACAGGGCCCATCTGTGTCCAGTAGCGTCAATAAGTAATCCTCCTTATATTTCTCATGGCTAAGTCCTGTCTGTTCTGAAGACAGGAGGACAACACAGGCCCTCTCCCACTTCTCAGATGCTGCCCTTCCCCTAACATCTGTAAGAAAGAAATGAACTACATCTGTTTTGAAATGAACTATTAAACTTTTATTAGCTGCGAAAAAGCAAAGAACTTTGACCATACATCTTAAATACAGTTAGACATTTAAAATATTGCAAGAACAAATATTGTCATTACACCTGATGTCAGTTTCTCAATGATATTATTCACCGCTAGTAGCTTGTACAATATGTACATACTGAATAACAGACAATACCATCATGCCATATTAGTTATATAAGAACAGATACACCTTAAATACATTTAATTATAAATACATCTTAAATAAAACAGATTATTTAAATAGAGATTATTTAAAATAAATAACATTTGGAACTTACAAAGCACTTTCATTAGAGATCTCAAATGAGTGTTATGATGGAAATGTAGTTTTAGTTCTAAGATATTTTACAAGTTAGTGTCTGATAAGCTCTTGTCACTTATACCTGTGGGTAATGTGATGTGGGAATCTCAAAAAGTTCCGCTTTAGGTGAATACTTATCTAAGTTTATCTAAACCTCTTGGGACTAATTCTCATCTCACTGACACCAGAAGTGAAGTCCTGGCCCCTTTCAAAGCCAATGGCAAAACTCCCATTTGACTTCAGTACAGCCAGGATTTCACCCCAGATATATAGATACACATCTCTATCTACTACCGTGGGGTTTCTCCTGACCTACATGGATGTAAGTGAAAGGAGAATAAGGCCACTTGAACTGGAAAGTGTGGTGCCTGATCTTGTACTCAGAGAATCAGTCTCATTCAAATGAACAGGACCATTCAGGGGAGTAAGGGTTACAGTTTTGAGGACGACCTTCAGATGGAAAGAAAAGGGGCTCTTGTGAGTTTTCTGGTACCTCCTCCTTCCAGATAGGCTGGAAATGCTTTTGGAAGAGTGTTTCTCACAGTACTCAGGTGCTTCCATTTCTAGCCCTGATTGGGACTAAGCAGTACAGAGGCAAAGAACAATTTAAAAAATTGTCTATCGAAGCGGTGAGTGAAGATTCTGGCTTCTTAATGTAACTGGTGCAACAATATGGCTGAAAGAGATGCTCCTGAACTGATTTAGATCCAGCGTTTGGTTCAGGCCCATCGTTAATAGAAAGTACCAGACAAGTAGTGATATAGTGTTGTTGGGCCCTGTGAAATGGAAACAACATCCGTTTGTTCCTGATGTGACATCTCCACTCCACTCCCACGGCCTGGGGCTGAGACGCAGTGAGTGCTCACAATTCCAGGATCGGGCAATCGGCTTTAGCTGTGCAGCTAAAAGGAAAAGTAGCTAACACCCTACATCACCAGATCCCTTGAGATTCTAAAGATCAGGATCTTGGGGAATTTCTCCTAGAGCCATGCAGACATCTGCCTTTTTCAGTCACAAACCATTAACATACACAGGACCATCGTCACCTAATGTACACTGTCAGACCTCCCTGGGCTTCCATGGAACTACATCCGTTTACTCTGTATTACCGAAAGCAAAAACAACATGAAGATTTGTAAATAATTTTGAAATAAATAAGTTACTGAAATAAAAAATAGGCTGTGTTCTTGATTTTCTCCGTGTTCTTAGTTCTTAATCCCTTCCATCCAGACGAAGAGAACGTCCAGCTCACCCAGTGCTTTGTTTGCTGCAACGTTTCTATCCAGCTAAAGAAATAAAACCAAGTCATGCTGTTAGTGCCTTCATAAAAAGCTGTAGATAAAATTAAAGGTTGATCATAGTGATTTGGTTTTGCATATACCCGTTTGACTTATGTAATCAATGTTATCTCCTTTACTAAAGGAGCTCATTTTAATTTTTTGAACTGATTTTCTCTTAATCTTATAAATTGAAGACTGGAGACTGAAATGGTAGCCACCGTCATTCATGATTTAGCCAATAGGCATCATACAATTACCACAGTTAATTTCTAAGTAAAATCTGGAGGAAAACTGGTATCTTAGACATCAGTGTGTGGCAACTATTTGCAAATTCTGATTCTTAAAAACAATGGGCAAAATTTTCAAAAAAACCTAAGGGTACGTCTACACTACCCGCCGGATCAGCGGGTAGAAATCGATCTATCGAGGATCGATTTATCGCGTGTAGTGTAGACGAGATAAATCGACCCCCGATTGCTCTCCCATCAACTGCTGAACTCCAGCTCGGCGAGAGGCGGAAGCAAAGTCAACGGGGGAGCCGCGGGCATCAATCCCGCGCCGCGAGGACGCGAAGTAAGAAATTCTAAGTTGATCTAAGATACGTCGACTTCAGCTACGCTATTCTCGTAGCTGAAGTTACGTATCTTAGATCGATTTCCCCCCCCCCCCGCCCCCAGTGTAGACCAGGCCTAAGAGTTGTAGGAGTCTAATTCCCATTTTCAAAAATGACTTGGGCAACAGTTGATGGGATTTAGACTCCTAAAGTGCCTAGATCCTTTTTAAAAATGAGATTTAGGCTCCTAAATCAGTTAGATGTTGCAACACCGAGTACAACACCACTTGAATACCTTTCAAAATCTGGACCTAAGCTCTGTGGGGCAGGGTCTGTCTTGCCCTGTGTGTCTGTGTAACGTCAAGTACAGTGGGGCCCTGATCTTGGTTGCAGCCTCCAGGTGCTACTATAATACAAATTACTAATAATGAGCTGGTGTGCTGTTTGTTCCCTCTCCCCCACCCTCACAGAGAGAGAAATCAATTGTGCAATGGATGATGGGAGAATCCCCCAAGTTACCTTTTCATATTCCTCTCTGATGAGTTGAAATCTACTGTTTGACTCTTCCCCACAGGAACACTTCCTCTGATCATGCTATGTAAAAGAAAACAAATACATTGTTAGAACTATTGGGCAAAGCAAGCAAATTTGCTTATTGCCTATTTTTGGGAACAGCTTAGAAGCAGCCCTGGAGACTGACGTCCATGCTCTGGAGCGAAGCAGGCTACCTTATATTGCCCCCACCCTGGCTTGCAGAAGAGAAAGCTTGCTCAATCTCCACGGCCCAGTCAGCCCTTTCCTACTTTGCTTAGGCTGCAAAAGAATGGGAACTAGCACCAGTTATGATGCTGTTTTTCTCAGCAATGTCCACTAGGAGCTAGACAGAGATCCACCCACTCATTTCAGAAAAGCTGTCAAACCCATGGTCAGTGTTTACCAATAGGTAGCCTAGAGGTGAAAAGCTTTATGGCCCAGATCCTTAAAGGTATTTAGGCACTTAACTCCTATTAAAATCAATGAGACTTTAGGTATCTAAGTACCTTTGAGGATCTGGGCCTATTGTCCCATTTCTAATTCCAGAATCATTCAGTCACCCAGCAGGTAGGTGTTATTCGAACACACAGCACAGGCTGTCGCTAGCTTATTTTATTCAAGGTTTTATTTTTTAAACATATTTCACACACTGTTCTTATAACTACTGGAGCCAAGGCTCCATCTTTTCGTGATGTTATTGGCCCCTGTTTCATGGCATTAAAGAAACCTGATATAGGCTCCATGCTTACACAGTATTTCAGTTTCCCCTTAATGCTGAGGAAGGAGTTAGACAGCCTACTGGTTCTTCTGCGAAGTAGGGAGCTTGTTGCTTCATGGTGCTTGAAAACGCTTTCAATGTAGAACCTCAACAGATGGCGGAGTAAGCAGCAGCTCTCTGAAATCTAAGGCAAGAGGAGAGGACATGAGGCTTATCGCAGTGTCCAAATATCCTATGTCTCTTATTCATTTGCATGCGAAGTCTCTTGTTATATGCATTAACTTAAATGAAAGATACACACGTATATTTGCAAAGTAAATCTTGAAATCATAGGCAATTCAGCACAATGCTCAAGCAGTTGAACTCCATAAAGTGGTTCCTCTGTCCACACTGAGCCCTGGGTGCCAGGCCCGTTTTCCAAGATTATTTTCCATTGTATTCACTCTCATGTTTCATCTAGCAAGCTCTCAGCAGGCTTTTGTCCATGAGATCATTGCAACGTAAGCTGGACAAAATGCTTCTCTCTGAGCTCAGCTTTGGCTCTATTGTGACTAACAGTGGTATCGGATCTGTAGTCTCGTGCCAGACATGCACACTCCAATGGAGGCCAATGGAAGTTCTGTACAAAGCAGGAGAGCAGAATAGGAAATAGTTCCAGGGGCAGCTTGAAGAGGAGGATATCTGCTCTTTATACTGTATTCTTCATAGAATGCATGAAGGGGAAACACTCAGAAGGCTAAACTGCAGAGGCAGCTCTTAGAGTGAGATCTTTAGATTACAAATGACACAGGGTCTTGGAGAGAAGGGCTTTAGGTGTAGACAGAGTTGCAGAAATGAAAAGACCACATT